TTGATGCCAGAAACTATTGCAAGTTTACATGAAGTAAGTGTATCATATGCATCTTATTTTCTGTTCTTGGGTGCATGGAAAGTAACAACATTTGGTGGTAATATTTGATTAAAATTTGGGACACCCCTGGAACACGCCAATGTCCTGCAAACGGTGACTATCTTTTGACAGAGTTGGTACAAACAAACCCTTTGAGGATTCGAACATGTTTGATGTCGGAAATGGGTTTAAAACAGACTTAGCACACGCCAATTTGGTAGCGGCAATACCCTGCAAGTTGTGCCTACATGTGACGGATTTGGCACAAGGAAACCCTTTGAGGATTCGAACATGGACGTTTGTGCACAGTGTAACTTGGAGCCCGCCATTGCTGCTTTGCAGCTATATTTATTATTATTTATTATTCCGCCGATTTTTGTACCTGCCCTAGCAAAATAACCACCAGCTCGATTTTGTTCAAATTTTGTGGGTGTTTGTAGACCATTGGGTACTAGTGCCCGCCAAAAACCCTAGGCCGTAGGCCTAAAGGCCAAGGGCAGATAACTGAAAAACAAGTATTTTTTTAAGATGTATTTCGACCTATTGCTCCGCAACCACTTATCCGATTACTTTGAAACCTTGCATGTATCTGCTGCTTTAGTTCTTTGATATTTTTTGTTCTTTGACTTTGGTCATTGATCACGTGGTTTGACAGCCATATTGGATTCAAGGTTTTCACAGGGTTTTGGGGGTACCTGTCTTCAAATACTATCTCCTCTGAATCCACTGCATGAAATGATTTCAAACTTTCTGAGAATTGTCTCCATACAGAACACACCAAATTAGCATAGCCGTTTTCCGATATCTTTTTTAGTTGCGGCAATATTGGATTTTGATTTTGATAATTTTTTTCACCGAAATTTTATTCTTAAGATCATAGCTTGTAAGGTTCTTAACAGAAACTATTGAAAGTTTGCATGAAGCTTTGAGACTATTTGTAGCTTATTTTGTGCTGGGTTGCATACGGAAAGCACCACTGCTTGGTGTGGTATTATTTGATTTAAGTAAAAAAATCAGACTTGAGTACAAATACTGAAGGAAGCGCCTCATAAATCTACCATACACCCCCATTCACTGGCTTTGCAGATATCCAAGCGTTCTCCACAGCCTTGTTCAATATTGTGTGTACTACCCTTGATGACCAGGATCAGAATTGGCCTTTTTCAACCGATGCTTGTCTCAAGAGGCAACTATGCTTGTTACAGGAGGCGACTAATCCGATTGACTCGCTGGCTTGATTCTTCATTTCTCAATTGCCAATTGCTAGGGTACCTTATTTTTGACGGTGTTGTTTAAAGCAAACCATTGGCGGATTAGAATATGGTCGAGGTCGGAAATTGGTTTAGTACACTCTGGGAAACTGTGGCACACGCCAATTTGGTAATGTCCTGCAAACGGTGACTATCTTTTGACGGAGTTGGTACAAGCAGACTATATGCGGATTCGAACATGGTCGAAGTCAAACATGAGTTAAGAACACACTGGGACACGTGTGGTGATGTCTCACAAGCGGTTCATTACATTTGATGGCGTTGGTACAAGCAAACCATATGCGGATTCGAACATGGTCGAAGTCAAACATGGGTTAAGAACACCCTGGGACACGTGTGGTGATGTCTCACAAACGGTTTATTACATTTATGGCGTTGGTACAAGCAAACCATATGCGGATTCGAACATGGTTGAAGTCAAACATGGGTTAAGAACACACTTGGACACGTGTTGTGATGTCTCGCAAGCGGTTCCTTACATATGATGGCGTTGGTACAAGCAAACCATTTGAGGATTCGAACATGGTCGAAGTTGGAAATTGGTTAAACCATCCTGGGACACCCAGGCACATGTCAATTTAGTAGTGGTGATGTCTCACAAGAGGTTCCTTACAATTGACGGCGTTGGAACAGGTAAACCCTTTGAGGATTCGAATATGAACGAGGTCGGAAACATGTTTAGCACTTTATCTCAGCAATGCGACAGGAACCCGGGGCCCGGACGAACGCAGAACGCTAATCCGTTTGACTGGAGCCCAACTGACAAAGAAGTTACAGCCTGTTAAAGAGTCCCCAAGCCGAAAGGCTGAAGAGCCCCAGTGTTATCGTTTGATTTAATATTATTATTATTCCGCCGATTTTTGTACCAGAGCTAGCAAAATAACCACTGGCTCGATTTTGTTCAAATTTTGTATGTGTATGAAGACTGTTGGGTACTAGTGCCCGCCAAAAACCCAAGGCCGTAGGCCCAAAGGCCAAGGGCAGATAACTAAAAATCAAGACGTTTTTAAAGATGTATTTCACCCTATTGCTCCGCAACCGCTTATCCGATTACTTTGAAAACTTGCATGTATCTGCTGCTTGAGCTGCTTGACATATTTTGTTCTTTGACTTTGGTCATTGGTCACATGGTTTGGCAGCCATATTGGATTCAAACGCAAACAACTCCGAGTCCACTGCATGAAATGCTTCCAAATTTTCTGAGAATTGTCTCCACACACAACACAGCAAACTCTCATAGCCGTTTTGGGATATCTGTTTTAGTTGCGGTTGTATTGGATTTTGATTTTGATAACAAAAATTGCCGAAATTTTACTTTAACGATCATATCTTGTTAGCTTGTTGACAGAAACTATTGCAAGTTTACATGAAGTTAGTGTATCATATGCATCTTATTTTCTGTTCTTGGGTGCATGGAAAAAGTAACATCACTTGGTGGTAATATTTGATTAGAATTTGGGACACCCCTGGAACACGCCAATGTCCTGCAATCGGTGACTATCTTTTGACAGAGTTGGAACAAACAAACCCTTTGAGGATTCGAACATGTTTGATGTCGGAAATGGGTTTAAAACAGACTTAGCACACGTCAATTTCGTAGCGGCAATACCCTGCAAGTTGTGCCTACTTGTGACGGATTTGGTACAAGGAAACCCTTTAAGGATTCGAACATGGACGTTTGTGCACAGTGTAACTTGGAGCCCGCCATTGCTGCTTGCAGCTTTAATTTTAACATATTTTGATTCAATGAATCTGGATCGGTAAACAAGCCAAAAGGCTTATGTTAATACCTCTCCAGTACAACTTATATATTCATGAGGGCATTGAACAAAACAAAACATGATGATAATCTAAACAGAAACACCCACCCCCACATCCCAACCTCCCATCTGAATTGCTGTCCATCTAAATTCAAATCTGAAGGGCCCAAGTCACAATGACAACTAAGATTAAAACAGAACTCTGTTAGTGCTGCCCAAAACAAGATGAGCTTTAAGATGCTGATGCATGTTAACGTGAGTGAGTGAGTATGGTTTTACGCCGCTTTTAGCAACATTCCAGCAATATCACGTCGGGGGACAACAGAAACGGGCTTCACACATTGTACCCGTACGAGCGAACGCTTTAAACACTAGACTACCCCATCGCCCCTTGATGCGTGTTAAATGCTGTTAAATTTACTTATGATGTTAATAAAGATACACGTAAAGCAGCGTTCGAAATACCTGCCTGCCCGACCGTCCGAGGTGGGTTGATTTCAACTCGGGCTGCCAGATTTTCAAATCCCCCGACGGTCGGGTAATATTTCATGTGTGAAAATATTCTAAATATTTCCCGATGATATGCATTAATTCACATGTAAAGATGAATGATAAAATGTAACCAAAAAGAAACCCCGTTAGCTTTCAGACAACATAAAATTTAGGCCCTATTTAGGAATAAGGATATTTACATGATGTATATTGGGATATTAAATACAAATCTGACCTAAAAAGTGTTTGCTATTTCTTTTATTGCATTACTTCATGTTCAATGAATTCGATTTAAAGTTTTAATTAAATTATCCTGAGAAACATATGATTATAGTGGGCAGGCGATTTTGGGCAGGGCTGGCAAGTATTTCAGCTAGCCAGTCCTGTGGTCTGGCTGAAATCTTTGGGAGTTTCATACCCTGCATAGAGATATAAAACATTCAAAAAGTATACTTTATATTTATAACGTCTCCACTTTTGGTTCGTGGCCCTTTTGACTCATTGATGTGGTGGCCCTTCTGACTTTTATTGCAGCCCTTTTGACCAATGTGCTTGTGGCCTTTTGGACTATAACCTTTACAGATATACCACTGGATATAAAGCTGTATATATCGTAAAAAACGATACAAGCTACACGTCAAAATAGGACCACATTTAAATGGAAGAATCAGAAAACAAAAGAAGCGCAAGCCCCATCATGTCGCATTGGTTTGATTTGATTGTTTGTTGTTTAACGCCGCACACAGCAATATTCCACCTATATGTCGGCGGTTGTATTGGTAGTCCATTTGACAGTGTTTTTTAAAGGGAGCAACGATTTGATTTTTTTGGGTGGATGCATTTCATGACATATTGTTTTAATGTTTTGGGGATCAATTTATATTTCAAACATAAAGAGATGCTCAGTTATTCTTTCTTAAATAAATTAAAATACCGAATTTAACTCTGCTCTTTCACATAGAATTTTGTACAGGATGGTCAGATGGCAAATAAGCAGGTTAGGGACCTTTGAAAAGGTCACAATTGTTTCAATAGCTTGTGGGGGTGTAAAGCCCACATCAAAGCAAGAGAGTGAGAGAGAGCTAGGTTCGGCAGTCTTACTAACGGAAGTGCATAGTACAGTAAAATCCGGACAGGCCATAGCTCCATGCAGGGTACCGTTAACCGGGCCGTGGCAGATATTGTAACATCCTCCCCTTTTTGAAAAGCTTTAAAACTTTAACGTAGAACAGGAGCAAATAAAGCATCACTTGTACTAGTGATTAATACAATGATTAAGATTACCATGAAAGGTAATGAACTTAATGAGTTATTACTTCTTAACTGAAGAGCTTATTCACCGAAGATTAACACAAGTTACAGTCTTTTGCAAATTCTTGAACGCTGAACACAATTATCAATTAACAGTCAATTTGAACAGGAACATCAGGTCTTTGATCTACTTCATGGACACCTCAAAGTCTTTGAGGTAGGCAGGCGTCTTGCTGTGTCTGGTAGATCGTCTCTGGTTGTCTGGAACTTCAGGTACAGGTATTACCTGAGATTTGGACCTGCTCGTCTCATGTACTGAGACAGGGTCAGGTGACTTCACATTTGTTAAAGGTTGAGTCACGTGTGTAGCATCTGGTCTTACACCGGTCTCCGCTGCAGGAATCAGCTTTGGGAAAGGAGTAGGAGGATTGGTCTCACTTGATTTTCTCAAGTGTACTCTATTTCTTCTATAGGAACCATTCCCCCCCTCGATTTCATAAGAGCGTTCGTCAAGTCGTTTACTCACAGTTCCTTTCTCCCACTCTTTCTGTCTTAGTCGATAGGGTTTCATGCGAACCATATCTCCGACCTCCAAGGGAAATAAGTCTCTCGCATGTCTGTTGTAGGACTGAGATCTTTTTCTCTGGGCACTCTCTATTGATCTGTGATCATTCAGGTAGTCACTGTGGTTTCCAGGCATCAGCAGTTCTTCTGACATTGGCATTAGTGATCTAGTCCTTCGACTGAACAACTTCTGGGTCGGACTAGTCCCCGTGTTCTGAGTCGGAGTATTCCGAAGTTCAAGCAAACAGAGATCCATCTTCGAACTCTTGCACTTGCTCATCATTGTTTTGGCTGCTTTCACACCCGATTCTGCTTTGCCGTTTGGATGTCTAGGAGAACTGGTACAATGTACCATGTCCCATACTTTTGTGAATGATGAGAACTCTTCGCTCACGAACTGTGGACCATTATCAGAGATGAGCTGGTTTGGAATGCCATATCTTGAGAAGTGTATTTTCAGTGCCTTAATCACAGCTAAGGAGGTAGTTTTCAGAAGATAATCAACTTCCCAGAATCCACTGAAGTAGTCAATGGTAAGAAGGTATTCACGATCCTCAAACGTGAACAGATCTGTCCCTATTATCTCCAACGGATAGTTGGCTTCAATACTCATCAGAGATTCCTTCTGTTGAGCTCTACTATATGTCTGACAGGCTTCACAAGATTCTGTGATCTGCTTGATCTGGTCAGTCATGCCAGGCCAATACACACACTCTCGAGCTCTTCTTAGCATACTTTCTTTCCCGAGATGAGATGAATGGAGGAGAGATTTGACTTGTGTTCTCATGTTTTCAGGTACAACGATGCGTTCTCCTTTGAACACGAGACCATCGTGCACAGTGAATTCATCTCTAGCAGAGCAGTATGGAGCAAGTGATTCAGGTAATTCTTTCTTATTTTCAGGCCATCCCCTTAGGATTACAGACTTGAGAATGTTCATTGTCTCGTCTTGCGTTACGCAATTCTTCTAGTTTCTCAGGACTGACTCTCAGATGTCCGACTGCATTCACCGCTGAGAACGTGTCGGGTTTACTGGAACTTGTGATTGAGTTGGTGTATGCTGTGGAGAGCATATCCGACAGGTACATCTGTTTTCCTGGTCTGTACACAACATCTATGTCGTACTGAAGGAGTCTCAACATCATGGACTGAAGTCGTTTGGGTGCCTTGTACAGAGGTTTCCGAAGAATAGCCTCGAGAGGTTTGTGGTCTGAATGTCGATTGTTGGTCTGCCAAAACTATACTGGTGGAACTTCTCCAGGGCGAAGACAATGGCAAGACACTCTTTCTCGATCTGAGCATAACCACATTCAGTATCAGACAGTGCTCTACTAGCATACGCTAGCGGTCTCCCTTGTTGTAACAACGCTGCACCCAGTCCCTTGCTTGAAGCGTCACATTCGATGTGTAGCTCCTCTAGAGGATCATAGTACCTCAACACAGGTGCCTCAGTCAGAAGTTGTTTGATCTCCGTCATAGCGGTCTCTTGTTCATCAGTCCACTCCCACCTAACTTCTTGGTGAGTGAGTCTTCTTATTGGTTCCATGACGTCAGACAATCTTGGGAGAAACTTAGCGAGATAGTTGACAGTTCCTTGAAGGCGTCGAACTGCTTCAACATCAGTCGGAGTCCCCATTTCCAGGATTGCTTCAACTTTCTTTTTGTCTGTGTTTCACTGTCCTGTAATGCACAGTTCACAAACTTGACAGGGATAATGTTCACTGTTGAGCCACAGTCAACTTGGAATGTCACTGTTTTCTTGTCATCAACAATCATATTAGCTAGGATAAGATCTGTATCTGGTGTGTTAACTTTGTTAACATCTGTCTGTATTTCTGAGAGAGTAAATACATAGCCATCTTCTGATACATCTGTATTGTGAGAGCAATCATCTTGGACTTGTACCCCATGGACAGGTTTCTGGCTGAATGTGCAACATATGTCAAAGTCGTTTTGTCTCTTGCATAACTTACAGGTCTTTCCCCATGCTGGACAAAGTTCTTTGCGAAATACATGTTCTCTACCACAAAACTTGCAGGTGTTGAGTCGTGGCTGTTGTCCCTGGTAAGTATTTGACCTTTGACTGTTGTGTGTACCTCTGTAAGCAGGTTTGGGGTTATAATGTTGTTTGCTTTCTCTGTGGTGTTTGTCTTGTGACTTTGTTTACTTCACCAGATTGTGCTGCTGTTATTACTTTCAACTGAGATGCTGTGTTTTCATGACTTCGACAAATGTCTATGCATTTTGCAAGTGTCAGGTTGCGCTCCTGAAGTAAGCGTTTACGAGTATTGGCATCAGATATGCCCAGAACAATTCTGTCCCTAGTAAGAGAGTCTCTAAGGCAATTACAAAAGTTGCAAGTTTTCACAAGCTGCTTAATAGCTGCTACATAAGTATCAACATTCTCATTTGGTTGCTGAGTTCTAGTTTTCTAGTTTTAAACTTGTATCTTTCAAAAGTCTCATTGCTTTCACCAAGAATGTGTGAATCAATCTTCTCAATAATGTTCTGTACAGAGTCAGTTTCTGAAGGATCACATGAGTTGTAGATCTGTAGTCCTTCTACTCCCATGGTAGAAATTAAGTAAGATCTGAAGATTTTCATATTACAAGTTTCATCACTCTTACCGGTGATTACACAGTAATGACCCCACATTTGTTTCCATAATGTCCAGTTTTTAACAGGAGCATCCCCTAATTTCAGAGGTTCAGGCGGTCTAATATGACTCGCATCATTGACAGTAGTCGCCATGTTTTGACTAGACTGATCTTCCGTAGATTCGTCAGATGACATTTTCAAGTGTCAGAGTTAGAATTCATGTAATTGACTTGAATTTAAATGTTTCAAGTAAGATAAACATAACATTTACAGTTTATGTCAATAATCCAGTCAGATTCAATCAGTATTTACCACTTGATCCTTGAATATGCAACACATTCGATCCACGTGGGTTTTTTACACACGGTAAAACGCTCGTGTGAATTTGAGATAATTCGACACAGAGAGTCAATTGTCAATGAAAAGTAGGGTTAAACACAAACCACACAGTGAGTAAGATAGTTCTTTTCCACTGCCACCATGTTTCAATAGCTTGTGGGGGTGTAAAGCCCACATCAAAGCAAGAGAGTGAGAGAGAGCTAGGTTCGGCAGTCAGCCATTTACTAACGGAAGTGCATAGTACAGTAAAATCCGGACAGGCAATAGCTCCATGCAGCGCACCGTTCACCGGGCCGTGGCAGATATTGTAACAACAATATATTCCTACAATGCGAGGCATATAATTTTTTTTCATTCAGTTAAACCGGGGCTTGATTAATCAAATGGATGCGCCCTAAGTTATTACGTGGTACAAATAGTGGAAATAGTTCATGTAATTAGATCACCCCTAGCGGGCCTCAAGTTGTCAGTATTGGGCTTCTCGCAGCGTCACACCGTCTAATAACCGTGATCGTGGATATGTGTCACGCACTGGGATGGAGCTTGCACAGGTGTTTACCAAGGGAGTTAACCACGTAAACGTTTCCGGATTGTAAATTCGGATTCGGCTGACAGTAACGTAAACGAAGAACAATGTTCGCATAAATATCTGAAATGCAACGGTAAGAATTAGTAAATATTTGTTTTGCATATAATACATGTCATGCATATGTTGCTAACGTGTTTGTGAAGTGAACACGTAGCAGCGCATAGTTTTATCAGTGCTTGTCTGGTGCTGCTTTAGCCACAGGCCCCCGAAGACATATTTATATGGACCCGGTGTTTCAGCAATATCACTGTCCTGCTAAAGGGGCCTATGACTAATGCTTGTAGGAATATATTCGGCCACAAGTATTAACAAGCTACCATGAATTCCGACTCTGGTTAGGCGAAATCAGGGATCACTGGTTTGTTTGTTAATACTCAGCGCACTCAGCAATATACAGATATATGCAAGCAATATGACGGCGGTCTGAAAATAATCGAGTCTGGATTAGACAATCCAGTGATTGACATCATGAACATCAAACCACGCAATTGGGATATGGTGACATGCATCATCCAATTAGCATGATTAGTCGCCTCACACGACAGTGACAGCTTGTGATATGTTATGTATCTTATAAGTCTAAGTATTAAACTGTGGTGTAAATGGGCAATTAGTGTTTCTATATTGAAAACTGTCGAAATAATTACCCAAGACATCATCAATGGATATCAATGATGACTGTAATGTCAACAATGACCAGTTATGGCCAAGAACCAATTATTACCGAGGACCAATTATCACCAACTTCTCGTTAAAGCGCACACGTGATCATATTTCATTTTACTTTTGCTTGTATCCATTAGAAGAGAGAAGTATTTATCCAAAAATGATGAATAAAACTGACTCTTGTGAGGAAATATTTTTAAAAAACCCACCATAATCACCTTGCTCAATTTCAAATACAACTTTAGAATAGAAATGACGCGGGGGGAGATGTCACATAACTAATTCATGCAAAAAAATATATCAAACATGATGATGCACTTTCAGTACAGTCAATGCTTTCTATCTGTCTGTCATGTCTTCCCCAAAATACAATTCTGAAACCTATTTGAGGTATATTTCCAAAAATGCATAGCCTTAATATACCGCGAAATCCATAGGACACAGTGTTTAGGATAAGCATGTGTAGGTCAAATTTCGGGAATATTGTTTCTTGTCAGTTTGCTGACGACAAATTGATAATAGCACTTCTTATTAATTTTGATGAATAAAAAAGTGTGTGCGATACCCGAGATTTTGTACATCTGAAGCGGTGCGAGATCACGTTGCATGTGCTGTTAAGACAATGGCAATAACTGGTACAGTAAGTCGACAGGGAAGTTCTATTACCACTCTTTTGATTCCCTGTCATAGCGTTATAATAGAAATCAACTGAATCTCTTTCAACAGACAGAAAAAAACGAATTTGCTCATAGTTTCACAAAAATACAAGTTATTGGTACAATCAACTTTGTACTCGGAATATGTCAGAAATAACATGAAAAATATGGCAATATCCAGTCACTGACCAGTACACTTTGTTAAATTGTCCGAGCCCCGACCCCCGACCCTTATATATCAAATGTACTCATCCTTATGTAAGTACTGTTAACTTGGTTTAAGAGCAGACTTTGTCACTCAAACTTTTCCTCTTGCTCGGGACGTTTTGAATAAACCATGCCATTCATAGGGAGTCAGATTCGGATGGGAACCTAGCCATGATCACTATGATGTTCTTGGGACCGTCTCTTCATACTTTTATAAAAACTATTAGCATAAAAAATAAACTCCTTCCTCAATCCTACCCAGTCAATTTCATGAGAAACAAAATTATTATTAACTGGCTGTAACTTTTAGTGTAAGTTGAACATGTTGAAAGACAACAAATATCATCATTTACTCACTCCTCTAGGAGCTGAAATTACAATAAATTTACCTGAATTCTAACCATGAACATGGTGTTTCCTTTTCAGACCTCCCTGTTCCTGCCAGTCTTCACAGAAGGCAGATCACCCTCCCCCATTCAACAGGATCAAGCAGAACAAATGGTCTTAGATATAATGCAGTTTCTATTGTCGACTGTATAATGCAGTGTGCTGTTGAATCTCCGCCAACACAAGGGGATATATTACCCTTGAGCTATCAACAAAGGGAAACAACTCTGGGAGCAGTATCAACTGAGAAACATGGCTTAGATATTCTGTCCCTTGTGGCAGTTGATGTCCGCAACAAGCATGACCCCGAGGTCCCCATGATGGAGGACACTCTAGATGGTTCTCATCAGCATTCAGTTGGTCATCTTGACAATGTGTACCTTGATACTACGGACTATGCAACCAGTGACTCTCGAGCCCAGGTAAAGGCCCAGGGGCTTATCTCAGCCCAGAGAGTGAGTGAGGGCTTGGAGGATGATGAAGAAGAGGATGAGGACATCGGTGAGGATGACGACTCAGATGATGAGGACAGTGACCCAGATTATGAAGCCGAGGAGGAAGAGATTATCAATGAAATGCTTTCAAAGGGTGATAAGAAGGAGAAATCAGACAGATCAAATTCTGATTCAGAGGAAACTAAAAAGACACCAAAATTCAGAAGAATTACTCAATTTACCAAAGTAACCGATCCTTTGGACAGCAGCAAAGTCAAATATCAACCTCCAAAGAGAGTACCAGGGAACAAGCCATATAAGTGTGAAGTCTGTGGGAAATGTTTCTCCGTGTCCAGCCATCTGAAGACACACAACAGGATCCACACAGGCGAGAAGCCCTATAGTTGTGACATTTGCAGCCGAAGATTCTCGGAGACTGGAAGTCTGCAGAGACATGTCCGAACACACACGGGAGAAAGACCCTTTAAATGTGAACTATGCGGAAAGTGTTTCATGGAGTCAGGACATCTCCAGAAACACATCCGGACTCACACCGGAGAAAAACCCTACACCTGCTCCACCTGTAATAAGTCCTTCACAGAAAAGGGTAGGCTCCGGAAACACATTCGAGTTCACACGGGTGAAAAGCCCTATCAGTGTGATTTGTGCGGAAAAGCATTTAAAGAATCCGGCCATCTGAACGTCCATCTGAGAACTCATTCTGGGGTGAAGCCATTCAAATGTGGGATCTGTGCAAAGGAATTCAAGGCTTCAACCAGTCTCAATTCCCATATCCGGTTCCACACCGGGGAGAAGCCGTATCCGTGCGAAGTCTGTGGTAAGGAATTCGTGGATCTCCCTCACATGACACGGCATCGTAAGATTCACAACAAGGTCAAAGCATTTACATGTGACACGTGTGGAAAGGCTTTCACCGATGTGGAAAAGCTTTCCACACATTCACGAATCCACACAGGCTTGAAACCATACAAGTGTGAAATCTGTGAGAAGACGTTCACGGTAGCATCAAGTCTGAAAGCTCATGGCACCGTTCACACTGGAGAAAAACCATATTCGTGTCACATCTGTGAAAAGAAATTCCCATACTCCTCCAGCCTCCGACTTCACATCAAGAGCCACAGTGGCGAGAAGCAGTATAAGTGTCAGGAATGTGGGAAAGCTTTTGCCATCGCTGCTAGTCTGAAACGTCATGAACGGTCACACACAGGAGGGAAACCCTACATCTGTGATTTCTGTGGGAAAGAGTTTTCTGACTCCTCGTCACTTCAGAGACACTGCAGGTCTCACATTGTAGATAGAGGCTACAGGGACACTGCAGGTCTCCCATTGTAGATAGAGGCTAAAGGGACACTGCAGGTCTCACATTGTAGATAGAGGCTAAAGGGACACTGCAGGTCTCCCATTGTAGATAGTGGCTAAAGGGACACTGCAGGTCTCACATTGTAGATAGAGGCTACAGGGACACTGCAGGTCCTACATTGTAGATAGAGGCTACAGGGACACTGCAGGTCTCACATTGTAGACAGAGGCTACAGGGACACTGCTGGTCTCACATTGTAGATAGAGGCTACAGGGACACTGCAGGTCTCACATTGTAGATAGAGGCTACAGGGACACTGCAGGTCTCACATTGTAGATAGAGGCTACAGGGACACTGCAGGTCTCACATAGTAGATAGAGGCTACAGGGACACTGCAGGTCTCACATTGTAGACAGAGGCTACAGGGACACAGCCGGTCTCACATTGTAGATAGAGGCTACAGGGACACAGCCGGTCTCACATTGTAGACAGAGGCTACAGGGACACAGCCGGTCTCACATTGTAGATAGAGGCTACAGGGACACTGCAGGTCTCACATTGTAGACAGAGGCTACAGGGACACAGCCGGTCTCACATTGTAGATAGAGGCTACAGGGACACTGCAGGTCTCACATTGTAGATAGAGGCTACAGGGACACTGCAGGTCTCACATTGTAGATAGAGGCTACAGGGACACTGCAGGTCTCACATTGTAGATAGAGGCTACAGGGACACTGCAGGTCTCACATTGTAGATAGAGGCTACAGGGACACAGCAGGTCACTCGCTATAGACAGTTGCAAATGGTTTTGTAATGTTTGCCATAAAGAATTCAATGATGCTGATAGTTTGAAAACTAATCTGAATTAACAGACACATTATCATGCATTATTCCGAGAATCAAACATGCTTTCTTCAACGTTCAGTCAATTTGTACAAGATAAGTTGTGGCAGGAGCCTGAGTGGTACATAAGGTTTTAAAACACATAAAACCCATGTACCCCTCTTGATCCTTCTACAATAAATTTATCTTACAGACATGTTTTAATGTGACATTGAAAAAGAATTAACACAAATTCAAAATTGATAGAAAACAGCTGTTCGATTGAGATAAGGTTAACTCGTGCTAGGTCACGTGACTTCCATTGACTCGTAAAAAGTGTGCAGTCTTTTGCTTTGAATAGGGGATTTATTCTGCCTCTCAAAAATCCACGTGCAGTCTGTATTGCTTGTGGCGTGGTATAAGTGATTTATTCCCCCGCTGAGAAATGTATTAACCTCCTAGGCGGGTTCCACAGTATTTTATCAAGATCAGCCATCCGAATATTTTGCTAGTCAGTTTCCAAATTTTAAATTGAGAACTTTGACATAATATTCTGTAAAATGCATTGTCTGAAAGGGAAGTCACTAGTCTGAAACTAGTACAGTATTGCTTGAGAAAGCTGCTTTCTGATTGGTTAATGTCAACTTCCCGTTCGTCATTTCATTGGTTGCAAGTTCGCAAAAGGTTGTTCTGACATGGCATGTAGCGAGAACTAAAATCTGATTTTAATGAGATTGATGTCCATTGCCTTTAATAGAGCCTCTTTTACCCTACCTCTAGTTCATAGCTATAACTTTTTGAAATTCAAAACCTCACACTGTCATGCTTGTTTGAAATGTTTTTACGGGTGTAAATTATTATTGAAAACTTCTAAATCAAAAACAGAATGTTTGTTTCCTAAATATCTTGACACAGCTGATAAGGAATTCAGGATGCAGATACATGTAGTTCGAGAACCTGGACAAGTGTTACATCATGTGCAAGTTTTCGTTTACTTCAGTATTGTTTTAGACGACCAATTTTATACATTCGTCAATTCATGTTTTAAATGTGTATCATATTTCACAAGGAAATAGGGGCAGTGGGGGTAACCTAGTGGTTAAAGCGGTCGCTCGTCACGCCGGGTTCGATTCACCACATGGGTACTATGTGTGAAACCCATTTCTGGTGTCCCCCACCGTGATATAGCTGGAATAGTGCTAAAAGCAGCGTAAAACCATACTCACTCACTCACTCACATGGAAATATTTAAAATGTTACATACACAATAACCCATCGTGATTAGTGATAACTACTGGGGCTAGCATTACCGATACTACGTACTTTCTTGAAGCCAAATGCTAAATCTTATTGCATTATACTATTAGCATGCCTAGAGCATGCCTAACTTAACATGCTTAAGGCCAGAATTTATTTTTATTTCGTTCTTGTTTACAGATTTTAGTACAATTTTATTTGTATTGAAACATTTTGTTGGTAGGTCAAAATATATTTGTAAAAATGCATTGGACATGTTTGACAGGATTTTTTTTAAGCATCTTAAAGTTTGATTTGGATTAGTAGGCAATTAAAAAATTAAATCTTGGCATGGTACCCTCAGCTTTGACTAACATCTAGTCTCTGAAATAAGCATATTTTACAGTTGTTGAATTATAACTATAAAATATAATAAAAAAGGAGCCCAGAGACTTTCTTCATTTTCAGATGACACTGCAGTAATCTAGACTTGCATGGGCTGTATTGAATATATTTGCTTCAGGGTCTGTATGACAAACTACCCTTGGCTAGATGACTCAAAGAATATCCCCAGATGTGGTCCTCTCTGGAGATTTTATGACACTTCTTTCGTTTGTTTTGGATAATGTGCGCTTCAAGAATGACAGGTTATCACGTTTAGGCAGCGGCTCCATAAAGCAAGAGTAAGTCCTAACCTGTCATGTGATTTAGACCTAAGCTGGCTGATAAAATAGCTTCTTTATCCAGCACAAGAAACATGGAGAATATCATGCAAAAACAGTGCAAGTTAAGTATCACCTTACGTATCATACTGAGACTCAAGTATCATGGTACGTATCGATACATGAGGTAGGCCTATAATGACTAACAACCATGCAGTGTATCAATGTTGCCATGGCAACAGGCTTCACTCATCTACCTTTATTAGCATAATGGTACTATTTTTTACGTCTTTTTCAACTTTTGGAAAAAACATAGGGTTAAAGTTGTTAATTTTGTACTGTAATCATGGCAATGTGTTTTGTGATATTAAAGGAATACTGGTACCTGATACTTGTGTGAAATATTGTACATTAAAGTCAAGCTCCTAGATTCTGTTAACTTGGCTAATACCTGTACATGTATCTATTGTCATTGTTTTTTTCTATGGAGTATCTTGTTAAAGATCCAGACCTTATTTGTAATACATGATTTAATCCTTGTTATGACTGTATGAAAGTGGTACAGATCTTTGTAAGGAAGAGTGCATTGACTTAAATTATTGGTTTTGTTAGGGGATAAATATTTTTGAAGTAAGAATTCAGTCAATTATCAGCACCTAAGATGGATGAAAGTGTGCCACCACAATTACAAACACTGTAATAGGTTCTTTGTTTGTTGTTTAGCGCCACACCCAGCAATATTCCAGCTCTATGACAGCGGTCTGTAAATAATTAAATCTGGATCAGACAATCCAGTGATTGATATCATGAGCATCGATCCACGCAATTGGGATTCGATGCACTGTGTTCGAACCAGGAATTCAACTACACATGCTCAAAGGCCAATATTTGTCAGTAGCTAATGTTAAGGTCAGTAGAAATTCCCAATATGGAATAAAAAAACTTTCCAATGATTTTTATTGTATTGTCTAATGTGATGCTGTGTTGATATAATTTGTATTTCACTGATAATGGGATCAGTACAGGGGAACAGAATCTACCGTATTCGATGTAAAAAGCGCCCCACTCTAATAAGCGCCCACGGCGATATTTGATAATATATTGGCTAGTGAACAATTCCATTAGGCACCCTTTCGATTTATCAATATACACAAGACTTATTATTTTGCGTATAATACGCACTCGTGTGTTATATGCACCCTTAATTATGGGCAATTAAATTCTGGAAAAATATATCTATCGTATATAAACAGTTCAGGCCGTCAGCATAAACCTCGAAATTTATCTTTCAACTCTGTTTTTTTCACCAAAATTATATTCTAATAAGAGCCCCCTGTTTCTAATTTTGAAGGCACCCTGGGCGCTTATTACGTCGAATACGGTATGCTTTGTTTAACATTATTGCATTGAATGCAATGTTAAATACAATGTCAAATTCCTCTGAATTTAGTAAAATATAACCTTTTAGAAAAATTGCAATTTTGAACAGAAAAATGATGTTTATTATCAATTCGCCTGCCATGGGCCCTTGAATTTGAATACCAGATAAATTGTCACAGACAGCATCCATACTGTGTGTGAGGTAGATCCATAACTGTCCAAGTCAGACATGCTCGCTTGTCGCCTGATACTAGCCTGTTTCAAAACATGATTCTGTACCACTAGGGCTGTCACAGATACCATATGCTGCATTGCCTAATACATAAGCATGATAAGGGCACAATACAGTCATTCTTAGATTTTTTAAAATGTTGTCAGGAGGCGTTTTGATTATTATCCTTTTTTAAATTTTGTTCAAGCATTTGTTTTTTGATGCATGTGATTCACATGAAGCATGCATGTTTTGTACCTTATGTAAATTGAAAAGAGACACACAAGCGATTTTCTTCATCTGAAGATGTTTTTTGACAGGAAGAAGCTGCAAGTTTTGTAGTCAAAGCATAAGTAGGTGGTGTGTGGGGGTGGAAGCTTGAGGAATAGGGAAGTTAATATAGTAAGAATTACCTCCCTTCCGTTATTAACACGATCAGTTGAGATTCATCATAAGATGTAAAGTTTTTCAGTTTTTATTATACATTTTCAACAGGTTGTAATCATATTTTTTTAAATAATTTATTAATATTGACTGCTTTTGCATTTTTTAATTTATTTTTTATTTATGTCAGAGAAAGTAAATTTTACACACTGATGTTGAAAAATTGGTGTGGGGCGGTCGGGTAGCCTAGTGGTTAAAGCATTCGCTCATCACGCCGAAGACCCGGGTTCGATTCCCGACATGGGTACAATGTGTGAACCCATTTCTGGTGTC